TACACGGTACAGTAACTTGGGAAAAAGATGGAAAATTTCCTTTGCATTTTTCTGAAAACAAGATTACAAAGGAACAGGTAGCTAAAGAGAGACAAAAAAAAAATCTCTACCAGTTTACCTCAGATATTAATTTTAAACCAACATATTTTAGAATGACAGAATGGCTGAGGTGGGAAGGGACCTCTGGAGATCGTCTAGTCCAACCCCCCAGCTCGAGCAGGGTCAGCCAGAGCAGATTGTCCAGGACCACATCCAGTTGGGTGGGTTCTGAGCATCCCCAAGGATGGAGACTCCACCACCTCTCTCTGCACGACCCACTCCAGTGTGTGACCACCCTCACAGTAAAACGGTGTTTCCCTGTGTTCAGATGGAATCTCGTGTGTTTTGTGTCCATTGCCTCGTGCTCTGCCACAGGGCACTACTAAGAAGAGTCTGCCTTGTCTTTGTTCCCTCCCATCAGGTATTTTTACGCACTGATAAGGTGCCCCTGAGCCTGGTCTCCTCCAGGCTGAACAGTCCCGGCTCTCCCAGCCTCTCCTCATATGTCAGATCCTCCAAGCCACGATTCGTCTCTGTGGCCCTTCGCTGGACCCTCTCCCGGAGGTCCACGTCTCCCTTGCACTGGGGGGCCCAGCACTGCACCCAGCCCTCCAGGCGCCCCACCAGCGCAGAGCAGAGGGGAGGGGTCACCTCCCTCCATCTGCTGGAGATGCTCTGCCCAGCGCAGCCCAGGACACCCGTCAGCCTTCGTTGCCGCAAGGGCTCATCGCTGGCTCGTGGTCAACTTGGCGTCCACCAGGACCCTCAGGACCTTTCCTGCCAAGCTGCTTTCCAGCTGGTCAGCCCCAGCCTGTTCTGGTGCCTGGGGCCATTCCTCCCCAGGGGCAGGACTTGGCATTTCCATTTGCTGAACTTCATGAGGTTCCTCTCAGCCCATGCCCCCAGCCTGCCAAGGTCCCTCTGTGTGCCAGCACGACCCTCTGGCATACCAGCCGCTCCTCCCAGCTTTGTGCCATCTGGAAACTTGCTGAGGGTATGCTCTGCCCCATCATCCAGATCATTAATGAAGCTGTTAAACAATATTTGCCCCAGTACTGACTTCTACAGCACACCAACAGTGACTGGCCTCCAGCTGGACTTTGAGCTGCTGATTACAACCCTAATCTTCATAATTCACTATGTGGTGGTTTTTTGGTTTTTTTAAAAACTAAAGACAGATAATTTTTTACAAGAAGAGATAGTCACCGGGGAAGTCCCAAGACCCGCAGCACGAGTGCCGTAGAACTGGGCAGAGAACACCACGATTCTGATGCCCCGTCTGCTGTTGTAAGCCAAACCTCACAAAGCCTGTGTACACACAAATGCGTAAAGATCAGGCCAGAAGTCCTCCTAGTCCGGCCTCCGGTCTCCAACAGCAGCCAAACACTGATGCTCCAGACGGCGGAAAAAGCGAGTGCCCCTCGGCTACCCAACCCTCAGGGATTTTACTATCATACCTTGTGAAGTTCTGTGCGTGGTTTTCAAATTAAAACACATTCTCGGATTAAAAAAACGAAACCGAAAAACCCCCAAACAAAAAAAAAGAGGATATTTACTACTACCAGACTGAACAAGGATCCTGGAGTTACCCAATATCCTGCTCCCGAGTTGTTACAAATGCTCGAGGCCCTCCATAATTCTTGTACAAAGAAATGAGGAATGAGTTTTATTACCCATTAGGATTATGAAAAGGAAACGTAATTAATTAGCGCACACGTTCATGTGCATAAATTATAAATGCTAGAAGCAGGTGACCACACTAACTGCAACGATGAGAGGGTTTTTGGAACTATCCATAGAAAATAAATTTTAGCAGCTGGGGTGGGGCGGGGGGAAATCAACGCTCTTTTAAAAATTATGCTCTTCTAAGCATTTTGAATTTAGCTATACGTTCTATTACACAAAACCTTCTAGAACTTCAAATCTAATTTAAACACCTCTCCGGGGCACTAGAGGAAAGAAACAGATCTTACTTGAACT